ACCCAGCAGCTCTGAGGGTACCAACAATATTTTAGCTCAGACATTGGTAACTTAAGGCCTGAGGGCCAAAAGTGGCCCTTGGACAATCTCCACCAGGCCCCCATTAACCTTAGTTTAAAAGGAAAAAAAACCCAACAACTTTTAAAATAAAAGATTGATTAAAAAAAACTGCAATTTATCAACAAGATTTGAGGAAATTTAAATTAAACATCTTACGCAAAACTTTTTTAAAAACATTTTTTAAGTCGTGTTTCCAGAACTAGATTGAACTTTAAAGATTTAGCAACACAAGCAAATAAGTTTGTTTTACATATTTCTGCTAACATGTTATACACAGCATAACGTTATCCACGTTAGCATAATATGTTATACATGTTAGCATAACATGTTAAGCTAACGTGTATAACATTTTAAGCTAATGTGTATAACATTTTAAGCTAACGTGTATGCTAACGTGCATAACATGTTAAGCTAACGTGTATAACATGTTAAGCTAACGTGTATAACATTTTAAGCTAACGTGCATAACATGTTAAGCTAACATGCATAACATGTTAAGCTAACGTGCATAACATGTTAAGCTAACATGCATAACATGTTAAGCTAACGTGCGTAACATGTTAAGGTAACGTGCATAATATGTTAAGCTAACGTGCATAATATGTTAAGCTAACGTGCATAACATGTTAAGCTAACATGTATAACATGTTAAGCTAACATGTATAATATGTTAAGCTAACGTGTATAACATTTTAAGCTAACGTGTATAACATGTTAAGCTAACGTGTATAACATGTTAAGCTAACATGTATAACATGTTAAGCTAACGTGCATAATATGTTAAGCTAACGTGTATAACATGTTAAGCTAACGTGCATAACATGTTAAGCTAACGTGTATAATATGTTAAGCTAACGTGTATAACATATTGTCACAAGACCCAGTTTACAGAATATTTCTTATATTCCTAAACTATATGGGAAATGTTTTATAAAGCATGCTAACTATGCTACAATAAGAAAAAGCCTAAAAAGAAGTCTTTTAGATTATCTGTCATAAGGAGCATTTATTTTCCAATTCTTTATGCGGCCCATTGATTGTTTTAAACGTCTTGATGTGGCTCTTTGGAAGAAAAACGTTGCCCACCTCTGTTTTAGCTTATCTTTGTAAAATAAAGAGCAAATATTTCAGTTTTCTT